CGCATCCCCTTGGCTCTCCGTCCGCACCGCCGCGCACCCCGCTACTCAATCAATAACCTCACTCCACCCTCTCTGCCCCATCCTGCTCTCTCAAAAGCACGATGGTTTATTATTCGTTCTTATCAGTAACCAGAATAGATGAAAACTTTTCTTGGGTCATCGAGAAACATGCAGACAAATGAATGCACTGTCCTGTTTATCTCGAAAATACTGCGTCGTTTCATCGACATTCTTCTAGAACAAAACTATTCACATATAGTTTTGTTTTTGTAACTTTTGTTTAGAATATGCATTCGTTTAAATTTTCACATCGGTATAGATTTCAGGTAAACTTTTACCATTCAAAGAATCCTGCATGAAAAACAATTACTTCATTGAGTGGAATTTGTGTTCGTCCTTTTCCTGGCATGTTTTATAAGGGAAGGTTCCGAGTTTTAAGATCGTATTTGAGTCGAGACTATGTGCATCATGTAGTCTCTAGTGAGTTATGAAAACATTGAAAAGAACTTGGGCTAATAGCCTATTGCAGGCGAGATACTGCATTTTTACGGTACTTTTTTAACAGAATGCTGTCGTCCCCCTCAGAAACACTAGAAAATCTGATTTTCGAATTTCGACTCGGAATTTTGCACAGACGTAAGTCTTAGCGAGAATAGTTCATTGTGAAAGGTTCAGATCCTTTCGTTGTTTCAATTCTGAAATGCGACTATGGTAATAGCGTGTTTTTTTTTTTTACATTACTCATATATACAGTCAGATTCGGTGTTCGTATTTCAGGATAGGAACAACGAAAACATCTGAAACTTTTAAAATAAACTATTCTCGTTAAGACTTATCTCTGAGGAAAGTTTGAAGTCATAATTTGAAAATCAGTTTTTCTGGTGTTCCTGAGAGGACCACAGCATTCTCTTAAAAAAGTCCCGTAAAAATGCAGTATCTCGACTACAATAAGCTATTAGCCCAGAATCTTGTCAGGATATTCATAACTCACTAGTAGAGGTGGCACTTTATCTTTACTTTACTGAGAAAAGTAAAGTTGGGTTACTTTACTTTACTTTACTCAGTAAAGTTAGCCTACTTTACTTTACTGGATAAAGTAAAGTAACCGTACTTTACCAGAAAAGTAAAGTAAAGTAAAGTATCTCTTAATTTACAGGGAAAGTTAGATGAAGTAATATGAGATAAAGTAAAGCATGTAGTTGATGATTATTGGTTTATTAGTTTATTATTACACATTAAGCACATTCTAATCCGTCAAAAGTGGCGTCGAAATACTGACCGAGAGCTTCGAATTATATCCGAAGCTATTTTTAATATCTTGAGAATCAGCATTGAATCCACACTATTTTTCAAAATGATGTTTTCGAATTTATCACAACCCAATTTTTCAAACCTAGTGTGTTTCCTTCAGGAGTCAAAAAGAAATTTTTATTGTTGTCCTATTACAGAACTTTAAAATTCAATAGTATGAAGTGAGTTTATTACAAATATTTCATTTGTTGTCAAAAGTACTTAGGTAATAAAAAAGATAGAAGGATCTTCTGAAAGTCTTAAAAACTAGTTCTTGACCAGAAACTTCATTAAAATACGGCTATGTTTCGTCGATAATAGATTAATTTGACACAGAATTCTTTTCTCTACCAGCAATTATGAGAACGTGTTGAATATTCGATTCATTCTATGGATCATTAGCAATTACTGCCCCGATTAGGTCTGTTTATCTCTCATAATATTTTGTCAGTGTTACAAAATCAGAGTTTCTACAGGTGTCGTGGTAAGATTTCTTTACCAAGAGTGGAACTAAATGTGCTCTTTCGAGTGACAATGTTTTTCACATGAAACTTCATATCTAGTAATGTACTTTTGCTCACAATCCTATTCTTGACACCTTCTTTGCCACCGCTTTCAATAATACTTTATGGTTTTCGAATAGAAAAATCTCATTTGACTCCAAAAAAGTGTCATATCTGAATTTAAGACAGAAAACTGAGTAGGCCTATGTGAACAGAGATGCTCACTGGATTGATTTGATATGAGTACCTTTTGGATTAGGCTTTTCATTGGTAAGCCTTAACCCAGGCCAGTGGCTACATGAGACTATTTACAATGGTGAACAAAAGTAGCTACCCCAGAAAGTGATATTATATTCCATGATTTCGAACTGATCTTTTGCGAGAATGTCGGCCTCATAGAACCCTGATCGTAAACACCATCATGCCCTCAATTGATTAATGTTTGCAGAAGAGATCACTTGTACATCGTCATCAGCTTATAAAGATCCTATCTCGATCATTTTTCGACATGCACTTTCTTGCAGCCCGTCATTCAAAAGCTCAGAGATGCAGATATCATTAGTAAAATTTTGGTGAGAAATAGCGGAGATCGGAAGTTCTTGTTGAAAACTTGTACCAAGTAGAAAATCCTTTTTTCAGTTTGGAATCGATAATTTGAGCTAGAATTGATCAATGAAACTTAAGTTTCAGCAATGGCTCATCATCGGCCCACAAGTTTGTGATAAAATATTCAAAGCCGTAGCTCTATGCAGAGCTGAGACAGAGCTATTGAAAGAGTTTACCATGCCACAGCTTGTCTATCAATGGATCTACGATATTATGCGGTGAGCTTTGAACCCAAGCAACCAGTATGTAGGGGGACAACTAACACCAAAAAAACTCAAAAATTCATTTAAGGAGGATGAAACTGTGAACTAAAAGTTTTTAAGAAGGTATTTCCCTTTAGTCTCTTCAATCTCCTCCCCCCGCTAGCGTATCTATGCACGCTATACTTTTCTGTTACAAAGCATTTCACCTCAAAACCATTTTGCTGACTTCAGAGAATTTCTGCTTCATGGAATCAGCTTTTTGTACACACCCTCTAAATTATTCTGACAAAAAAAGAGTATTTCCGGAAGGATGAGCGTAAATTCACCAGTTTTTGACAGTTTTACTAGCTTAAGGGCAATGTCAACGGTTTATTGAACACATGGAGCGAAAATATCATCTCAGAAGCTTGTAATTCGCAGTCTGATCCTCCTAAAATGAATTCTTGTTTTTTTTGTGCTAGTTATCATCTTGCTTATATAGTTCCTTGGGTTCAAAGATTACCAGACAATACCGTAGCTCCATTTGTAGGCAAAGTGTCGTATGATGAATTCTTCCAATGACTATATCTCAGTTCTATATAGGTCTACAACTCTGAATATTTTACCACAAATTTGTAGATTGGTGATGAGTCATTGCTACAATGTTCCGCTGCATTGATCGACTTTAGCTCAAATTATCGATTCCAAACTGAAAAAAAGAATTTTCTACTTCGTAGAATTTTTCAATGCGAACTTCGGATCGCCGCTATTTCCGACCAAAATTTTACTAATAATATTGGCATCTATGAGGCTTCGAATAACGCGTTGTAAGAAAGTGAACGTCGAAAAATGATCGAGATGTGACCTTCGTAAGGCGATGACGATGTACAAGTAATATCTTCAGCAAACGTCAACCAATTGAGGGTATGGCGATGTTTGTGATCAGGGTTCAATGAGACCCACATTCTTGCAAAATATCAGTTCGAAATAATAGAATATAATATTACTTTGGGGGGTACCTACTTTTATCCACAACTGTATATAGTTCCATCTTCGACCTACCAATTAAAAGTTTCAGGTAAAGTTTGTGGGTTAACCGAATAGTCAGTATTGGGCTAACCCATTCAATAATGCATATTCTATAAAAATTAGTTATGAAAATATTTTCGAAGGAGTGCGTCGTTAGAAAAGGAGTTTTTGATCAAATCAAGTCCATTTTGATCTCAATGAAACGAATCTGGTCGTATTCCAGTAACATTTTGTACAAAAGCTAGTTTTTAATGATGCTAGGGAATGCTTTCAATCTTTCTTATTATCTGAGTACTTTAAAAAAAATGAGATATTTGTAATCAGCACACTTGGTACTACTGAATTTTAACGATCTGTGGTAGAGCGGCGAAAAAAATGTATTTTCGATACCTGAAGAGGACCCATATGTGTCAAAGGTTGAGTTTTCATAAAGTAGAAAATAAAATTATGAAAAATATTCAGGGTTCAATGCTCTGCCTCTAAATGCAATTAAAATTGGTTTAAATTTTTCGCAAACCTTCGATCCGTAATTCGACACAACTTTTGATGCACTAAGATGCGATTAATATCTGATGATAAACTAATAAATTAATAACCATCAACTACCTACTTTACTTTATCTGATTTTATTACATATTACTTGTTCTTTAAAGTAACAGATACTTCACTTTACTTGACTTTGTTAAAGTAAAATAAAGTTAAAGTGCTATCCCTAGATCCGTCATATACCCGGCTGAAGTAAGGCGGTAAAAGTATAGTTTTTGAAACCAACTATTACCGATCTAGCGAAGCTTTAGTTCGCATGCTGCATTATTCAGAAAAGTGCTTCCCATGGATTTTTGGCTTCGTGATTACTTTTGACTCTCCGTAAGTCATGTTAAAAACGATACTCAATTAAAGATATCGAACAATTAGGTTCTTTGAAGATCTCAAGGTTCAAAACCCAGATTGGGGCCTTTCAGCATCCTCAAAATGAAAGCATTCTCCGCGAACAAGTTTTAGAATTTGATTTTCTTTAATGCGCCTCCGGAAAATACCTTAAAATCAAGGTATTTGAAACACATGTTTAGAGTTCTTTAAGGATCTCAATTCAATGTAATTCAGATTTGAACCTCGAAAATCGCTTAAAATGAATGATTCATTTTCAAAAAGTGTTAGAATATGCTTTTCAATCACTTCACTATTACACCCACGCAAAATACCCTAAAAGGAGGGTATTTGAAAAAAGTCTCTAAAGATATTTAGAGATCCTCGAAGATCGCAATTAGGGTTGTGGATGTTGGCGTACGTGAAGCGATAAAGAAAACCCACATCTGCATCCATATCGAAAGCCATGACAGCCACCACACCCACATCCACTTATTTGATGGCTTACAATATTTCATTGATGCATGAACTATGAAAATGTGAAGAACTGTCTAACTTGATATATTGAAAAAAATATTTTGTTTTAGAAATTCTTCTAGAAAGCTTCATATTCTTGCCTATTCACGATATTTACACATAATTGACTATTTACAAGCAAAGATCATTTCGAAAGAATGGATCTTGAGGGAGCACTTGATAGCTCAGGTCATCAGCATGTAACAATTCAGTATTGTTTGATGGCAGAATTGGAAAAATTACGAGTTCAGAAGTTCCCTCAAGGTTTTCCAAAACCAACACGTATACTACAAGCTGTTAATAGTGATGTCGATGGTCATTTGGAACAGCGATTGCAACAAATAGATCAAGATCATTGTGAAGAATGCATTCTACTTGTTCCTTATTATTTGGGAAATTTTCATTGGATTGGAATATTAATAGAATTGAAAGAAAATCGACAGATTCAACGAGCTGAAGTTATTGATCCTGTAGTAGATTCTAAATTCGTTCTTGACATGATACAAAAAACATTCGATAAATTTTACTCTGGTATGGTTTTATCTTCGAAAAGCTTACAGAAACATGAGGACGTCAAACAAAGTGCACAAATAACTATTCAAAATTTAATAAAATGTGTTGAAGAGTCTCTACTTACAGAAGCACTACATCAAAATATCAATGATTTACACAGCCAAATTTTCAACGATCAAAAAAACCGAACTTGTTTGCTTGAAGGCAATCAATCCGATTGGCAGTCAAAGCCGCAAGGTAATAAAACGAAATTTAGTGATTTAAACGATCCGTTGAGTAATGTAAGGGTAACTTTCAAAAATGAAAGAAAACGACATTCCTTAAGAAAACAATCGCAAATAGAACAACACATAGATGGGGACGAAAAATTTGGAACAGACGTTCGATCCGAACTCAATGAAAAGTATTTCGATAGTTTGAACACTCAGCAAATAGCTACAAAAGAGTTCGACAATATTATAGTTAATGACTCGGTACCTTCAACAGATAACTGCTATCAACTTCAATTGTGCGAATCACTAAAAAAACAGTTACGAAATTGTTTGTGTGAACATGAAATCAGTGATGAAAAAGAGCTAGAAGAGGAGATAGTAAGAAAGAAACAAGAGATTGAGAGTTTTGAAGAAAAAGGAAGACATACTATTGCAAAGAAACGACGAGAATCTTTATCGAAACTGGAAGAACTTCAACAATTAGCTGATAAAATCAGAGTTCTCGAGTGTCCGCAGTCAACCGATAATCTAGAAGAATTAAAAGCAGTATTGGCTAGTGGCCTTTCGAAGCGTGATGTAAGTGACGATAAAGAACTTAAAGAGGAGATCATAAAAAAGAAACAAGAAATTGAGATTCTTGAAAAACAAGGAAAATGTAAAAGTGTAATCAAGCGACAAGAATCTTTATCGACATTAGAACAACTTCTAGGATTGATAGATAAAATCAAAGCTCTAGAATCTGCCAAATCAATCGATAATCTAGAAGAACTAAAAACAACATTGATCAATGGTCTTTCAGAACGTGACCTCGGTGATGAGAAAGAGTTGAAAGAAGAGATAATAAAAAGAAAACAAGAAATTGAGACTCTTACAAATAAAGGAAAGCATAAAGCTGCAGAGAAACGACGAAATTCTTTATCAACGTTAGAAGAGCTTCAAGTATTAACCAATAAAATCAAAGCTTTAGAAAGTTCTAATATAAGTATAAGTAATGAGATTTCTCATGACAATGGAATCATCATCAGTGGGCGACGAGAAGACGATATAATAACGAAAGAACGTGTAAGAAACTTATACAATGACTTTTCTCTTATGCCACCTTGTTCAGAAAAATCTCTCATTAATCTGCTGTTTCTTATTGCTTTAAAATTAAATGATGAAGCAATAGTTTCGGAAAATAATATCATAACAGCTGATGAAATAGAGACTGAAATTGCTAAAGAATTCCAATTTTTCAAGGAGCGACTAAACATTGAAGAACTACAATCTACACAAGTAGAAAATTTTATGGGAACAGTATTGGTTAATATAAAACATCAAAATTGGAAATTGGCCTTTAGCACACTGGAAAATATTTTAAAGCTGATCAGGCCATTAAATATACCTGAGTTATTTAGACTTTTTCAGAAGGTCGATGAGACAGCACAACTGGTAAGGGGAGAAGACATCATTCTACTGCTTGGAGGAACTGGAGCAGGAAAATCAACCACAATTCATTTTCTTGGAGGATCTCAATTAAAAGAAATAAAAGTGTCAGGATTGAACCATATCCATCCTGTAGAAATAAGAAATCCAGATCTCAAGAAGATAAGTACCACGCCGTTTGCTCGATCTGAAACTCGATGCATTATACCTGTTAGAGTGCATTTTAAAGATGTTGGTGGATATTCTAATGAGAGCATTGTACTATGTGATAGTCCAGGATTCGAAGATACTAGTGGGTCTGAAGTAGATATTGCAAACGGTATCGGTATTGTTAAAGCAATAAAAGGATGTAAAAGTGTGAGACCTGTTGTTATAATTAGTTATAAGAGCATAGGTGACAGACTTGGTGGTATAAAAGATTTAGCCCATACATTAATTGAATTGATTCCAGAAATTGGCGATCACATTAGAACATTTTCATATATTTTTACCAAATTTCCCTCTAATGAAAGACATACAATTTGTGCATTATTAACAAATGCAGAAGAAACACTGAATGAAGCTGAAAAATCAGATATTGCTTTTAATAGTTTGTTTAGAGATATGGTAAATAAAACGAGACAAGGAGCGCGAACTTTAGACCCATTGAAGGATGATTCTTTTGAAATTCTTCGTGAACTCGCAAAATCTGAGGCCATTTTTCATCCAGATGAAGCTTTTCAATTTTTTATCACAGAAAAATCAAAATCTATTCTGCAAGAACAAGTGAGAAGACATCAGTTAAGCATCATATCTGCAACTAACCGTTCCGATTACTTACTAGTTAAGTATAAACTTGATCAATTAAAATACTTAAATGATATACCTGATCAAGAATACATTAAACAAATTTACAATGATTGTGTTCGGTATGTAATTAGACATCTCTCTGAAGAATATGAACAAAATACTCAAAGGTTCAACCGTTGTTTATTGAATGAAACAGTTTTGTTCAATGATGATTTCAAACAATATCAAATGTGTATCGATCATGCTAAGTTAGCATATGACTTACGAGAGATCCATTTAGGAAATGAAGTAGTTCATACTATTGCATTCATACAAAACGTAAACCAGCAAATCGAAGCCATTGTCACAGAACTAAAAGAAAAAGAAATTAATGATCCATTAGTAAAAATAAATCTGGATAAAATAAAACTTGTCTCAAATTCATTTTCAGATATTGATCAAGAGAAATATAAAAATATTTGTCGAATTCTAGCTGAAAAATTCGACTTCGTAATTAATTCTTTCAAAAGTTCAGTGTTGTCCAATAAATTTGATGAGAGTGCGAAGGATATCACAAAACTATATGAGGCATTAACTGTTTTACAAGATCACTTAGATTACGAAGAGAGGACAAAATATGTTCACATGAAAGAATATTTTCTTAACTATTTGAATGATTCAGTAGAAAAGTTAAATTATATATTTGATCGAGAAAAATTACACAAAAATGATATAGATAGTCTCAACAACTGTATTTGTATTTTAGAAATTGCTAAGAATACGTTCGCTTTTCAACCACACATTTCCAAAGAAGCAATCGATAATATTTATGAATGTCTTTTATCCAAAATTTTAAAATATTTCGAAAAGATTGTTACAAAAATGAATGCCGAACTTAAAAATGAAAATGCATTTCATGAATTAGAACAATTCTTAATAGAATTAGATTCACTCAGAACAATTTCTATCATCAAGCTTAAAACAAATCAATCTTATTACAGTATATTAGAAAAAATAATTGAATATTTACATAATTCAAAAAGAGATG